AATGAACTGATTTCAGATGACTTTAGCAACACTGTACTGTTTCACCAAATAATTTAGATGCTACATGGGCAAGAGTAGTTTTAACCATCACAAAATAACAAATGGAGACATGACTAGAAACTGCTGTTCGACATTAAAACAGAAGACCCAAATTAAAGTTGACCTCAGATTAAGTACGACCACTTCCAAAGAACAGTGAGGGAAGTTCTCGCTTTTTGTATTAACAAAGCCGTCTCTGATCCACTCCCTGATCCACCAACAGCACTTTTACACCACATTCACTTTCCTGTCTATAACGTTAAAGCTGCGCTAATCAAAATTTTTTAGATTAACAATGGATCATAGCTGTATGACATATGAAGGGGGTCGCTCGTGGTGACAAACCCACAAAGGATTATCATCCAGCTCTGTGGAGCATTTAACCTCTTTCAGCTTATTTTTTAAGTTTTCCGGATCTCAACTTTAATGTTCCGGTTCATTCTCACTGCTTTCATCAGTACTGTTTTCTTTTTTTTTTCCTTTGGCTGCAGGAGGCAGCTATTTTCAGCAAAATAACCTCTGATAAACCCACTGAGCCAGCAGCACCAAGCTGCAGATATTTCCCTCAGGAGTTGGTGGAGCCTGAAAATGGCTGAAAGGAGAGTGAATTGGACTCAGATTTGTCAAACCACCAGAAACAAAAACTCAAAATTACTTACTGTCCAACAAGACTGCAAACTATGTGTGTGTGTGTGTGTGTGTGTGTGTGTGTGTGTGTGTGTGGGGTGTGGGTGGGGGGTATGAATACTCCTGACTTTTGTAAGAGATTTCTGGCTCTAAAAACTCAATTTCTGAGTGACTCATTTCTATGTTAATGATACATACAGAAGGTACAGAGCTTATATGGTGTGTTAAGACAGGGACTTGTAATATAGTACGTAAACTAAACTTAACAGTACAATCTGGAACAAATGTGTTCAGGAAATATGGCCACAGCCAGCATGCATATACTGCAGACAACTCAGACGACTGCCCAGTGCTAAGATATGTCGGTGAGATTTATCTGCTGCCAGATACCAAGTCACCAAACCTGCATACAAATGTCAAGAAAATAAGGGTTTGGCTTCAGGTGTCCTGAAGCCTCTGGGTTGAATAATGATGGATCTTGATGAGCCTGTCAAAAAAATAAAAAAAATCAATCTCTCAGCCAGCGAGTGTGACAGAGGGTGTCGACCAGTCCAGCAATCACTGATTCAGCTTCTCTGCAGCCTGCATATACAGTACAGCAGGTAAGAGAATCCCTGAGGGTTTTTATAGCGTGAAGGTGAGGATGTCAGCAAGCTCCAGCCAGGCAGGCCCCATAGGTGAGGGCAGAGGAAAGTGGCTGTCCTCTGCGTATACTCACTTCGCTCACATTATTCTCACTTTTTAAGTTGTGTCATTTGTGCTGGTTTTCAATTTAAAGCGATATTAAGCTTTAATGAAGGCTGGTATTGCCTGATATTCTATAACATTTAAACATTGCACAAGGATCAATTCATCTTGCTTTAAGATTTGTACCTAGGGCTGTTCACACTTTAAGTGCAACATACTCCCATGGTCCAGAATGAGCAACATATTTGCTTTTTACAACCTCTGCATGTGATATGAAATCCTCCACCATGAGGCTCTTGTGGGATTTTGCATCGTTTGCTCAGCCATGTTATTGCAGGACAGTTGTGGCCCACAGAGGAAGGTTTGTAGTATGTAGTCAGGATGCAATCAGCCACATCTGACAGGAAAATAATGATGTACTATTAAGACTGAGAGTATGGAAGATCTTATTGAAATGCCTTGTAATGATGGATGGGCTGGCCTCTACTATTCTCTGTGACAATAAAGAGTCTGGATGGAGAATGCAGGAATGAGGAAGAGAGAGACATTTCAAATCAGGCGACAGACGTACCAAGTTCCTCTATTTAATTCCTGCAGAACCATGTAGGAGTCGAGCGGAGTCTAATCGTAGTGAGTTATAATTATCGCTAAAAGTGTGAACACTAAACAGCATGCGATGGTCTTGTCAATAACACAGCACTGTTTATCTGTTTAGCAAAATAACAGTTAGATGACAATGTCAAACTTCACCACATCTTTGTCTTCACTGCTATTGCTACCAACTCTGTAATCACCACTTTTAGCACTGTCATCACAGCCAAAATGACTACAATAGCCCCTGCAGTTGGTATCAGTCAGCAGAAATATAACTGGCCTATTTTAGTGTACAAGGAGAGAGGTGACCCAATCAATAACGTAAAGGATCCATACCATCACATGCAGAGGACAGCAGCATGCTTCCCTCCCCCCATTTGCATTTATGGTTTCTTTATGGTTTATGGATCTTATGGAGAGTAAGTTTGACAAGTTAAAATGTCTTTTGGTGGAAAAAATGCCTCCAAAACTGCATTTAAAAGAGCTATTTGCAAGTTTAGCTATTTCTATATAGCCACTGTTAGCATTAACAGCAGTTTACTTGCCAGTCTGGAAGAAACATTGCAAGTCAAGCATCAACAGCTGTCTCCAACAGTGCAAAGCAATGCAAGTGTTAGCTCTTGTTGCTAATACGTCTTTTCTTCTACTGAAGTTAGCACACTAACCAGCTTGGCACTTTCCGATAGCAAGTCAATGTAGCCTCCAATCTGCCCTGAAGACGTAGCGTTGGTCAGAGGACATATCAAAACCTCTGATCTTCTAAACACAACGATGGCTGAAGCTCTTGTCAAGCAACAGTCACGACCACCCGCTCCTGGCAAGAAACCACGTTCCAGCGGCAGAGAAAACGTACAAAAAGCCACTTTAAAGCAACTAAATCTGACACTGTGAAGCAAACAAACACATGAAACTTTTCATGCCACAGTGTCAGAGGTATGCTAATATTAACAATGCAAGTCTGGACTGTCGTTGCTACTTGTTATTCAGAGCCTCACGCACTGTACAGTGAGAAGAAACAGTATGACACTATTCATAGCAGCACATGCATATATGTTCAACATTCATCAGTCAGTTGCTATATTCTGTAAAGGACTATGGTGTACAGCATGAGTATAACAATTCATCTACTGGGTGGAACTCAAGAGATTTTAGGGATTATTCTCTTCAAATCTTGAGAAGCAGGAGCTTTTTGAAGCTTCCCTGCAGGGCTCGGCAATCATTTGTCCATCATGAGACATTAGAGTAAACAAAGCTACACTGAAAACTCTGCTTATGTCTCGCAGAGCTGCAGAGATAATGCGACAGTGCTTAGTCTTTTATCCACAACATCATAGGGCTCAGAACAGCGGATCTGAAATTAATATCAATATTTTCACTGATGACACTAAAGCAGCACTGATTAAGTTTCCAATATACACTTTATACTATTTTTCAATGGCTTTCGAGTTCTTTGTTATTGTTCATTCAAATGCAATATCCAACAATTTGGCACAAAGATGAACACTAAGCCATTATACAAAATTAAAATCATCCATATTTAAGTATACACTCTATACTTTCCCACTGGAGAGAAATATAAAGGGTGACAAGAGCTCAGAGCAGCAGACTCCCAGAGAGCCTCATATGCTGTAAAGCCTCTTCATCATTACTCATGTCTTTCCTCTTTCCCTCCCTCTATTCTCTTCTATCTCAGTATCGATCGACCCCCTTCCTTTTCTCTCCCTATGTGAGACATCGACTGTGCTCTCATAATTCAATTCTTATGTTCCAATGATGCCCAAAATAATTCCTCAGCGCTTCGCTCATACAGCAGACTGAAAAACCAACTACTGTACATGCTGTACCAGGAAGTGCACATTGTACTGGGTAAACTGCACTGCACCTCAGTGTGTGTTAAAAGCAGTTTGTAAGGACTGGACAGATCAGGAATAAAACAAAAAACAAAACAAAAAAAACTTTCCAAAATGATACTGGAAATGTTAATATGAATTTGACCTAGTGTGTTACAGTTCATATACAACCTAATATTAAGTAGAGCCAGAGTTTTGGCTCACAGTTTACCACATGACTAGATTGACAGTCACACACATTCACACCCACAAGTAATTTTGATTTTTCAATGAACCTGACTTACATGTCTTTGGACTGTGAAGAAAACAAAAGGTTGTGCTAACCAAACCTCCATCTTCCTTGTGGTTAAGAGACGCACACTTCAGCCTTATGTGGGTTAAGTATGCGTCTCTTGTGGGTTTCTGTGGTCTACTCTGCTACCTCCATGCCTGATCAGCCTGTAAGCGAACATGTTTGTACACCAATATCTCTGTCCTAGGGGCTGCCATTATCAGTGTTTCCTAATTATTAGATCCGACAGTGGTGGCTACTGAGTTACAGTAATGGTAACATACTTTATTGATCCCTGCCAATAGATTCTCTTCTCTCTGCACACAGGGAGGAGGGAAGACAGGGGTCAGAGGTCAGAGATCAGCTGCAGAACAGCACTTGGGGATTATTATGTAACTTCACAATGTGATGATGGTAGGATGTTTTGAAAGAAAAGAAAAGGCTTTCACCAGTCTTCCAGCTGTGGCTCTCAGACCTGCATTATGCTTAAGATTAAAAAGAAACCTTTGATTTAACAACAACACTTCAGGTTACTTCACTTTCATAGCCTAGTTCATTGTAATCAGGTTGATGGGTAAACATTTTTAACACCAGAGTGAACTGCTTGTTGATTGCTTTTACATCCAGTGATGCAGTGGCGAACAATCAGACTGTGACCTGCAGTGGATAACTACTATGATGCAAAGTAGATTATCATTACTATGATGCTATGTAAAATATTTCAATAAAGCGTTTTGTCAATAATGAATTGCCCAGTAAAGCCTGCCTTAAAAAGATGATCTCCTGTTTTATATTAGTTGATAAATTCAATAAAGTTATGGCTAAAAGATTGATTCAATTTCTAATGGAAATTGTTCATATTCAGATGTATTAACCAGCTTGAAATGTAAATATATGTAATACTGCATGCTGCATTAAAACACATCACCTACCTTGAGCTATAGCTATGGACTCGAACTTGTGCAGTTCTCGCAGAAGACAGGTGCGCTCAGACGGATGAAGGCTATAAATAAACTCCTTGGCTCCGCGGGGCGAGTTGAGAGGCTCCACGGGTTCCTTCAGCGGGTGCGTGCCCAGGTTACACCGCTGCACCAGCATGCAGAGCGGGGGCTCAGAGGCGAACCGTGCCGAGGATGCCATGGCGGGTGTTTGATGGTTGCTGAGTCCGGCTCTGGCCAGCCCAGTCCCGGCTCTCAGAGAGAGAGCGGGCCGCATGACTCTCCGCAGGCAGGGCAGCATCTCTGGGATGGGGGAAGAGCAATGCGCCGAGAACCTGGTGGAGAACAGAGGACACTGTAACAGGCCTGTTATCGGTACTCAGCGAAAACACCTGGCACATGTCGCTTTACATGATACAATTCATCTCTGCAATGGTCGCAAGAAAACACATAACTACACATCCTCAGCCTGGGTTATTTAAGGGCAAACCGCGGGCCTGACAGTGACAATTTTTCACATTATTTACGAACGTATCGACACGAGCCTATTTTACACGCCTTCTGGGAAGCATGGAGTAGGAAAGGATGCGACAGCTGTCCACAAATCAAAGTGCAACTTGTCTTATCGGACGCACCTCAGTCGATGCTCCGCTGTCCCGGACCACAACCTCCACAGGAAACCTTGAAAAGACACGAGCTGCTCCGGCGCATACGTTTCTCGTTTTCCTCGCTGTCAGATTTTGTAGCTAGTCGCACAAAAAAAAAACCCTCAAACACACTAACTGTGTAATTGTAGCTACAAAATCACATTTTTGCCAGCTTTATCCCGGACTGGTGTAACCTCTGGCTGACAGGATGGTGTGAGGCGGATGGGAGGGCGCTTCAGCGGCCAATAGCCCCCGAAAATATTTTCCAATGGCAGCGCTGCTTTCCTCAGTGCGTAACTCTGACGGCACCGCCAGACGTACGCAGGCCACACTCAATACATAGGGACCATGGGCGGTCAGCTGTAGTCATGTTATAGCTACTGCATCTGCCGTAACGAAAAAAAATACTGTCTGTATCCTAATGAGAAATGAAATATTTCTTATGGTGATCCAGACATGCTGAAAGCCTCTCGTGGGAATATTTTACAATGTGAAAGGAGTGTATTTGTCTGTTGGGTGTGTGCTCACCCCCCCTCTGCTATTATGCATGTGGGGCATTGAACTATTCAGCCAGAGTCCACACCCCAAGAAAATATGACACCATGTGGAAGTTATTTGTTTCGAAGAGAAAGCCTGTACTCTAAAAGAGGAAACGTTGTTTGTTTCACTTAGAATTTTAATGCTTTGTTCACTACTTTTCTAATTCAAGTCGGGGCTTTCTGTGTGAGAGCGGCAGATTCATTGTTTTGGCCGTAGTTTCATTGATTTGACGAGTCTTTTCAGTCCCCTCAGAATGGGAGGAGTGATGCATTTTCCAAGCTGAAACTATAAACCAGGTTTGGGTTTTAAAGGGCAGACAAGAGCGACCCCTGGTGGGCAAAAACAAACACGTCATCTGTTTATATCCTGGCCAGTTTTCAGACCGGATTAGTGTAAAAGCTTTGTTGTAAACAGTGAAATGAACAAACGGCTCATTGTGTGGTTGCTACACAAGAATTACTTCATGTGCAAAAAAATATTCATCTGAGTGATCTTTTGTTTTCAAGGTCAAGAGTGAACTGTGAAACCGAACATGAACTCCAAGGCCTAAAGTTTGTCTTAATGTCTTGGTAACTGAGCCACCTCAGTCTGTTGATGAGTACATTGAGGTGAGATTAGGTGGTGAGAGTATAACTATATTTACCTTTTAAGAAAAGATTTAAACTTAGTATCAGGAAAGTGGTCCGGTCCAATATTTGGTACTTTTGATACACGAGGAGGTTGCACACCTAGACATTCAAGAAGCCACTGAGCCAAAGCAAAATTTATACTTTTATTATATTGCTAAAGCTGTCATTACACAAAAAATAACAACCTTTTACTTCCTGAAACAAACTGCATCATAGCCTGTTGAACTGTACGCGGACAGATAGAGAGGTCAACTCTCCTCGTGGGGGAAAAATAAGCTAAAAACTAAACTACTACTTTCACCCCCCCCAAACTATAAACGTCTTATTCATAGGATATAGTGACATTTGGCTGCTCTGATATAATATATATATTTATACTAGCAATTTAAATATGAAAATTACAGGTCGACAAATCAAGTTTTAAACAGGTGGACGGCCAAAAACAAACAAAAACAAAAATATTAACATCTTCAACAATATTGAGAACTGAATGCTGGGTTTCCCAAAATATCTAAGCAGTGATATTATCTTTGCTCTTTTGATATTAAACAATAAAGGGGTGTTTTCAATGCAAAATATGGTTTGTGGTGCATCCCCCTGTTCACACTATGGTTTTAATTCAGGCAGGTGCCAAGATCTCTCTGGGAAACTCTGGGTCATATAAAGGAAGGCCAGACGTTGTGGGCAGCGTGCCATTTGTTCCTGAAATCAGCTCAGCTCCATCACTCCCACATCTTTTAAAAGATTTAAAACAAAAGATTAAGGCGTAACCATTCAGAAAAAAATCTACTGTCTTGACTGAACTGAAACTGAAGTTGATGCAGTTCTGCAACATCCCAGTTCTGCACTCATAATACTGATTTAAATCTCTGCATTACTTCTCTTGGTGCCTGGAGGTCAGGAAAAAAAACAAACTTTTCTGTAGCGGCTGTTCACTTTTAAACCAGCCCTTATTAAAATGCAGTTTATACGTGTGTGTGTATGTGTGAAATAAGGGACTTAAATGAATCGTAGCTGGATGGTTGTGGACATTTCACTGCTGCTAAAACCTGATGTACAACACACCATTAGATAGCACATGCATGGGTACAGGGAACGACTCTATTACTCCGATATTTTATATAAGTATAAAAATAGAGATAGGTTGAGAAAGAAAAAGAGATTTAAAGACTGAGAAAGAAAATAAATTAAAAAACGTGTGAGTTCCTGGACTAACTTGTACAGCTAAATAATATTTACACTTTCATACATCTTGTAGTAGCCGTGGTCTCACAGTGCTTGAACTGAAAAGAAAATTAAAACACAGACTATAACTCAATGAGACTAATTGTCTTACAACGCTGCAGTCTGAGGAAAAGCCTCATATCTTCAGAAAATCATATTGTCCAGGTAAAAAAAAAATAATTAAAAATTAAAATGTACCTATAATGGTGTACTTCTCATTATACAACAGATTTTGATGCGATTTCTTAAGTTCTTAGGGGAACAAAATGTGTTTCGACTGAACTTTTTGCTATTACAAAAGAAATCAAAACACCAACATTGGAGATGAAACGTAAAACCCTAATTAATCATAAGGATGCATGCACGTTACATGCGTTTCAAAGAGAACAGAGTTCAATAACAGCAACCAGACAGAATAAAAACAGTATGGCATTACCAATAATAGCTTTAAACTCATAACTTTGAAAACATCAAAAATATTTTGCCTCAATAACATTGTTTAATAATATGTGTGTATACACACACACAAACACACATATATATATATATGTATATATATATATGTATATATACAGATTTGAATTAACGTTGACATGGCACATCTGTACTTTGACAATTATTAGTAACGTTATGAGCAATCAATGCGCAGGCTGCAGTATGGCTAATAAATGCTACAAAAATTAAGGGGCTAAGATATAAGACTAATATATAATCACAAACCACTGAGAAGTTCTACAAAGCTCAGCATGTAGATACTGCAGATTAAATGAGAATCATATTGGAAAAAATAAGGAAAAAGAAAACCAATCCACATCCCAAGGCAATGGGATGTGATGATCATTATATAAACATCAATAAACATCTTGTTTTAAGATGTAAAACTGAGCCATTTTGGCACCTTGAAGCAGGTGGAGCAGATGGAAATAGAGCAAAGATACAGAGAACGAGAAGCACCCACACACTCCTCAGCAACAGAGGCGTGCAAAATTATTTACAAATCGTGTAAATACTAAAACAACTAAAACAAAACATAACTCATCAACCTTGTGATGCTTTAGTCACACTGTAGTCTCCCACAGCTCGGGTGCAGCGCAGTCAGTCTCTGAATTGTTCATACCCCTGCCCTTGTTGGCTCTGTGGACATCCCACGTATTTTATGAACTGTGAGAGGAAGACAGCTTTGACAACACAGCACATTCCTATCAGGGCGTCTCTTCATCTGAGCAGTCGATGAAATCCAGGAGTTTCCAAATGGAGCCATTACTTTCTAGTGAACCTGAATATTGCTCTTGTGACACCGTGGTGTACTTACTGTGCTCTTTCTGCCACTATGCAGTTAAGAGTGCTTATTTATCCCTCCATGGTACAATGCACTCCTGCAACAGTAAGTGTTTAGACATATAATACAGTGTTTTTTACACTGAGAAGAGGCATACATGTTGTCCTTGTCCAACCCATTGCTTCAGGGCAAATACTGGATGCAAAGTGTGCAAAGTACATCTTTACTGTCTTCTCAAAGAAATGAACACACTGTACTGTAATGCTGCTCTGTCCTTCTTGTTATTAGCAAAAACATCCTCATGTTTTACACTGAGATTACACAGCTGTGGGCTCGGATTTGCAAATACATTTTAGTGCTTAGGCCTTTATTCGAGGGCCTTTGTGAGAAATTAGGTCTTTTCCTTCTACTCGCACAGGCTCGTACAGTTATTCAACTATACACGGATCTAACTTAAGTGGGCCTGCGATCCACTTTGGGGCCAAACCCATATTTTAACAAACCCGTCTTTACATAATTTCTGAGGCATCATAAGCCAATACCAAAGAAAACTTGCACCTTACATGTCTATATATTTTCCTCTCATTATGGATGGCTTCTGTAGTGAGAGATTCTCCCAGATGAAAATTTACAGAATGAGAAATGTAGAACAGGTGCCAATGATTTCTCATAGTAGCATAAGAAGCCTTTTGATTCTCTATATTGCATTTCTATCAGCAACACTTTTTGTAAAGCCTTTAACCTCATTTACAAATATAATGAAGGGGGGGCCACACTCCTATGACAGGAGATCACATGTTTCTTGTGACCCTCGCCTGTATATTGTGATGATGTCATCATGCGATGCGCGGTGCGGAGCGATCGTTGGTGAGGGTTCTCTTGAGCTTGACCCCCTTGCGTATGGCCACCAGCATGTTTCCATCTCCGCCTTCTCCAGCCTGCTCTCCTCCTCCTTCCAGCCCAGTCTCACTCTGAAGGTGCTGCTGGGTCAGCTGGTTGGGCAGGGGGATGGTGGGAGGGTTGGTTGTAGCTTGACCACTCCAGGACATCACAGGCAGAGTGCCAGCATCCTCCACTCCTGCGAATGTTGGAGAATCTGGGCTTTCTTCTCCACCCTCTCCTCCTCCTCCCATCTCCTCTGCACTCCTGCTCCCATTAACTGCTCCTGACATGTCAGGCACCGTTGGGATTTTTACTGGGATGACAGGTGTACGAATAGGGATGGGGCCTGTACCTACAATGGAGCCTGAACGGCGAGCGGAAGGTTTTGAAGAGGGGGTGCGGCGAATTGTAGCAACCCCTGGGGTGACGATAACTGGACCATGGCCTGTGGAATAGGAGCCAGATGCATTATGGGAGCTGGATCCTGAGTAATATCCCTGACCTGAACATGATCCTGCAATGACACAACAGAAATAATCAGCCAATTTCAGGCATTAACAAAATGAATTTCACTAGCAATAAAGTAAATTTCAGTATATATTATAATTAAGTGTGTTTAAAGAGGGAGTTACTGATATATACCACCTTGATATCTTACAAACATACAAGATCAAGAAGGTAAAAATTGAAAGCATTAAGTATATACATAAACATTTGTGACACTATCACTGCAGCCTTACCTGTAGGGGTAGGAGGATAAGCCCCAGTAGGGGTAGATGGATAAGTTGTGTGTATAGGTGTTGGGGGATAGGGCCCTGCAGGGTAGGCCCCCTGTCCGGGGTAAGGAGCCTGTGTGCTGGGCAGGCCGGCTGTGGAGGCTGGGCGCTTGGTCTGGAACATGCGTCGGTAGGACTGACTGATGTCACTGTTTCTGGGGATGGTGGAGGACTTGTCAAAGTCAGTCTGCTGCTGCTCAGGCTCCTGATCTCCAGCCATTGAGAAATAGTCATAGTCTGATACTAGAGGGACAGAGAGAGAGAGGTTGGCAGTGCACTGACTTAACAAGATACTAAAAGACAAAAAAGAATGAGGTTTGCAATCTATTTTAAAGTTGGTGCCCGACTGATTCTAGAAAGTACATGTTACCTTGTGAAGGTATAGTGTCTTCAGAGCAGCAGGGTGTGTTGGTCTGCGTGCTGTAGCCACTGGAGCACTGGATGGAGTCTCTACTGGACCTCTGGGTGTCCAGCTCCAGACCTCTGGATAAGGCCAGAGCCAGTTCCTCGTGGGCCTCAATATCACCAGCCTGTAGCAATCACCCAATGAAAAAAACATTTAGTAATAGTCTGAAAGTTTGACTGTCTGAATAAAGCCAGGTACAATTCATTAAAGTCATTAAAATCATTAGGTACAACTTTTTAGTCATTAAATGGGAACATTAGTGGCGGGAGCCTCATTCATGTGGTCTGAATGCTATGACTACAACAATATGGCCCTGCTGGAAGTGGAATAAGAGGTCGTCTGAAACGTAAGCATCACAGATGCCATTACATGTAGACTGACCTGTGTTCATGTGCTTCATCAAGTATTGGCAGAGAAAAGAGGTAAATGAGTCACTGCACAATTCTCATGTTTTTTGGGGGAATTTGCCTCCAGCTGCAGCAAACCACTCAAGTTCTCAAGCACAAAGTCGACAGATGATAAAACATAAGTGGACAGACTGTCTAAAGTCTTATGGAGCCATTTTGCACTTAACAACATAAAACAGCAAACAGCAAAATTCTCACAAGTTACTTTCATTAAGACTGTACTGTTATTAAAGAGTTATTAAAACTACCCCATGTTAAGATAAAATTAATGAAAAATAGATAAAATATAATACAGAAAAAACAGTTTTTTTAAAAGCTGCGGTAGAAAACTCTGTAGGAGATCATGATTATAGCTGACCTTGAGAGGTGAAGCCACATGCCTGCTCCTCTCTTCCACTGAGGCCGATGAACTTGGTGTTTGTAGCGCAGCGGGAGCTGGTGTTGACATCAAGATTGAGGCTGGGCCTGAGGATGGGTCACTGTTCATACTACTATTACTGTCTATTACAGCTGGGCTCTCCTTGTCTTTCTTCCTCCTTAGTGTGTTGACCATGGGCTGGTCATAAGGCCCTGGTTTTGCCCAGTCCTGTAAAGAAAGACATGTTAGTGTTTATTGTTGATGTTTCTCTGATGTGCTTTTAATGAGAATTAAAAACTTTATCCCTTCATTTCACCTCTCAGTTTTAAAGTCTGCAGATTTTACCAAAGTATAAAAGATGAAAATTGATAAATTAAATGTATTTATACATTAAACAGTTAAAAAAAAAAAAAAAATCCAGTGCACCAGGCTTGCATGTTGAACAAATTGTGGAAAAGGAGTATTGGACTAAGTTGACCCTCAGGACCAAGGTGATTAACAAACCTTCCAACTGGGAACTCGAGATGAAGGCACCATGGGGGAGCTCATCGTGCAGTAGTGAGGGTAGTCTGGCAGCAAGGCTGAGGCGGGACGTGACCATGAACGAGTGGGGCAGGAGGAGGTGGAAGATGAGGATGAAGGAGGGAGGAATGGGAAGGCAGTGCCTGACACTGAGCCCAAACTCCCCCCATTGCTATGCAGGTAGGGGGAACTGGCCGGACTGTAGTGGTCAAAACCATTGGACAACTGGATGTGTGTGCATCAGTGGTAGAAGGGATGATAACAGAAACAAACACACAATGGGATAAATTACTAAAATGATAAACAGTGGAAAATAAAAACAAAACAGAACACATCACTGAGGAGAAATCATTTAAAAGAACACAAAAATAATAAGGAACCGTGTTGATCCCATCAGCACAGAACGAAGGAAATGGTCACAAAACTAACGACACTGATGCCAGGGGGTTTGGAGGTTCTTTGGTTCCTTTAATGTTTCTGTGATAAACTAAAGTCAGTGCAATGTACAGCCAAGTTTGAATTTAAGTGTGAGGAAACTGGGGTGAGTACAATGCTGGTGCAACAAAGACATTCGTGTGAAAACGGGGTAAGCTTCATGTTGGTTGAGTGTGTTTCACCTTGTCAGTAGTGTGCTGAGGTGCAGTAGCAGCAGCTAGAGAAGGGGGGGAGCTGCAGTCACTGTGAAGCTGCCCAGTCTCTGACACCTCAGAGGAGCTGGAACTGGGACAAGGCTGGGACAGCGAGGGCAGCAGCAGCAAGCAGGCAGTGAGACAAGACCAGAGGGAGAGAGGAGGAGGGAGAGGGGGAGAGAGAAATTGAGACACACAGACAGACATGTGCAAAGAGAAAGAATCGCAAAGACAGACATGTCAGCAGGTAGACAGAGAGAAGCAGAGAGAAGCAGTTTATTAGAGAGAAGGGGCAACTTTCCACAGTTCTCAGCAGTTAGTGAGGAGTTCAGCCAAGTGCCTATACAGGCTGTAGAGAAGGTGCACTGGGAGTCAGCATTAACTGCATGGACATCAGCAGTGTTATGTTAGAGGTATTGGAGCCTTGTTAAAGGGAAGCACAAGCAAAATTCTACTTCTTTAGGATGTCGAAGGTATCCTCACAAAATGATATTTAAAAGGATATATAAGCAATTAAATCCCTATTTTATTAACATTAATAATATCGTACTTCATCCATGTCTATAGGATAATAATATTTTTGTATGCTGCCCTCCAGAAGGATATTAGCGGTTGGGGTCAGCTACAGAACAGCAGCCTGCATAGAGGAAGGTATTGAAAATGGATGGAAATTAAAGAGATCCACAAAATTGTGAGCCATGACAAGGTCATATTTTCCCTGGGTTAAGGAGCAAGTCCTGTTGAGCCCCGTTTAGCCATGTGACTGTCCTCTTTCAATCTTAAGCTACTGTAAGTACACTAAGAATGAGGCAATAAGAAGACAGATTCCCAGGATTCTACTGTAAAAGGGTCAGATATGGACTTGCCAAACCACCTTCACTGCATCATAAAAACTTGAGTGTAACCATACAAATATGTTCTGGACAGGGGAACTCTGGCTGCTGGCGAGCTAACAAAACGTCAACTAGTGCAACCGCTCTCATGGTTGATCTCAAACCACAAACCCCACGCAGACAATCTGCTGGAATATCTCACTGATAATTATATGAAACCCTGTGTCAGATGGTTAGATAAAAGTGACAGAATGAGACCTGCTGATAGAGACACACTCTTAGTGCCTATAAAACATACTGTTGACACTGTAACATGTCATTTTACTGTGATATATTTAATGAAAATACAACGTGCTGTCTGCTCAAGCCTCTGCAAGTTTAACCAAACCACAGTCTGTCACAGCGGTCAACTCTTTAATAGCAGGATGGGGCTGACCTGTTTTGCCCTGGGCTAGAATGGAGGCAGACTAATTTCCTGTGCATTTATGCTATAATAATAGCAGTGAAATGACCTCACCATGATCACATACATTTATTGCTGCCAGCTAACTGCCTCTCGTGGTGGCTAGGGAGATGTGTGAGAAAAGACTTGTGTGGACTGCTGATTTGGGGTTTTGTCTCTGTCTCTGACTACAATAACTTGTAAATCATAGAGCATATGTGGTTTTACAGTCTTGTCTCAACCATATGTACATACTTGGACACAAAATTGTGGTCAAGTGTGGGTAGCTGAGGTTTTTCTCTTACCTTTGTTTCAGCTGGCATAGGCGAGGATGATTTGGACGACATGTATTGGTCTTGTGATGAAGAAATGAAGCCCGAGTCGTGGGAGGAGATGCTAGAGAGCCGAGCTGGGGCCTGCTGCGGTAGCGTGGAGCTACGGTACCGATGGCGGGGGTGATGGTGGTGGAAGAGGTGGTGTGAGGAAGAGGAGGAAGAAGAGGAGGAAGGAGAATGAGAGTGAGAGCCACTGGATCCCCTGGAGTCACTACTGTTAACGCTGTTCAGACTACTGTGAAAGGGGAAGGAGTGAGGGATGAGGGGAGGACCAGAGGAAGGAGAATTTTGGCAGTGACAGGTGGGGTAAAGAGAATCAAGTGCACCCAAAGACATAGTTGAAGAAACAAAGTTGGGTAAAGAAGAGATAAAAGGAATAAGAGAAAGAATGAAGGCAGAGGATTGGGGGAATGTGGAGGAGACAGGACGGGAAAACAATTAACACAGCACACCAAGATGCAGCAAGCAGTGACTGAGGCCAATCCAGTCAAAACAACAAAACAAACCAACACAAGAGGTGTGAAATCATAATGACAATAATTACAGGCAGGAAATCACAGGATTTCATGCCTTTAAGACAGCTTTCTGAGAATGTTCACACAAAACAAAATGAAAAGCAAACTCTGGGTCTAATTACTGTGTGAACTGAGAAGCAACAAAGTGAACATCTGAAGCAAATATAAAAATGGTATATTGCATAATCTGTACTATAAAAGATACATACAATAAGTACCAAATCATGTACAACAATGACAATAAAAAGCACAAGAACCAGGCAAAACTACTGTATACCTAGTTTAAACTGCTAATGCTACACTATCACGCACAAACAGAAACACACACAAATGTGTGTTAGGCAAGTCACAGAATGGGTAAAAATGACACATTGCAAAACATCAAAATTACAAAAGCGACTTTCTCACAATGATTTGTGAATTTCATAAGTGATTTTTTGAAAGCATAATAAGCTAAATCTTTGTGAGAAAATGTGATATTTGCAAAAAAAAAAAAAAAAAGAAATCACCATTATAAGGCTCAAGACAAAAAAACAACCTGAGCTGTTCCTCTATAATGGGTTTGAAATGTCTTATTATTTTAAAGTTTTGATTCAATTATAGAAGACCCACAACCCCAACATTGGTGTCACCAGACTTTAACAGGAAAAATGCAAAGCAATTATAAACCAAAGCTTAAAACTTAAAATCATTGAGAGACGCACAAAAAGCAGTGAGGACAGAGTGTAGAGGACATTGTCTGAACAGCTGGAGAAGAAATGGTCCAATTCTGTAAAACTTCTCTGACCTTTAATTCTTAGTTCTTTGCCTATATTAAAAAAAAAGTTTTCTTTGACAATGTAGGCCGACTTAAACTGTTCTCCTCAGTGAAGTGAACTAATTAATAACCATCAGTAACTAAGAGGAGATGAAGATACATACAAAACTAAGATTAAGAATTCGCAAACAACTGCAGCTCATAGTGACCACTGGGTGGCAGACATAGGCAAAACAATTAAAAGTTTTCCTCTATGTCTTTGTTTCCCAACCCTTTACAATGATGTAAGCTGTCTGCAAAGAAGATTCATAGTTATTAATAGGGTCAAAAGGAGAGATTTTTATTTTAGATCCTGAATGTATGAATGTCATGCTATTATAATACCATAGAACCTCTAACTACGAATAAAGACTGTATATTCAGTTTCATCTCCTTGCTCCTCAGTCCTAGGAAAGTGATAAATGAAGTACCTGGAGTAATTGAATTTTCTATTTGCCATTATTATGAAGCAAACTGAATTACAAAAGGGTTTTCGGGTACAGTAAGTAAATGTTTACTTAAAGACAAAGCCTCTCCATTTCATTTGTTTGTGGCTATGGGTCTTGTGATTGGCTGTTGGAGCCTACCTGCACATGCTAGACTTCCTGGACATAGTGGTGCTTGGGGATGAGGGCGGTGTTTGATATGACCAGCCATAGTCTGAGCCCTTCAGGTCCAAGATCACCTGAGAAGGAGGAAAATATCAGGCATACTTAATATTTGTACTTATGAGGTTAAAAGGCACTAAGCAAAGTCTCTTTACTGAACACAAAAATAGTGTGTCTGTTTTGGTCAATTGTTCACAGACTGTTTCATCTTTGATGTTTTCCTCACCTGTTCACTAGCAGGGGGAAGCTTGTGTGGGTCGGAGGTCAGGGCTTTGAGGTCATCAGAGATGGCCTGGAGATGGGTGACCTCTCCCAACATAGAAATCTCTTCATCCTAAAAGAATTAGTGACAGAGAGAGAGCAGAAATTTGTGGGCGGTAGAATGTTTTTAAAATTATTGTAATTTAAGAGTTTACACAACAATGAAAAAAAGTGCCTTTTAGGGAACAGTGGTAGTATAAAAAAGCTTCAATGATTGTCTGGATAAAAAAAAAAGTATTAGGTGTGAGATGAAGTAGCTGAAGCAGCATGAAAAATAATCTTTTCAGTCTATGGGATTAAAACAAAAAGGCAACGACAGGCAGTGAGGTGACTTTCTGTTGTTGTCTCTGAGTGTTTTCTGAAGGCTCATTTCTCTCTCTTTCCCCCTGCTGTACTCACCACTACAGGTCGCAGCATGGCTACAAAACAGCAGAATCTCTGTCTCTCCTCTATCAGAGCCTTCCTCAGGGCCTGTTTCTCTGTCTCTTCCAGCAGAATGTATTTATCACTGACATCCTGCATGGCGCTGTCCAACTGAGGCTGGATATCACCGCGACCTTGGTAACAAAAACACGAACACACACACACACAGACAAAATGAATATGCATGTCATTACAGGTATAACAAAATTACCAACTCACAAGGAAACACATGACTGGTCTATTTACTGCTCCATAATGTGTAAAAATCAAATTACTGAGATAAATTTGACAGTAAAACTTGAAGGACATTATTCTACCTTAATCTCCCTTCACAACACAAACACTAAAAAGCAGAGTTATGCTAATGTAACATGCATGAGTATTTACAAACTATATGATCATGTAGCAATGAAAGAACATTTGGTGTTTTTGATTTTCATCACATCTCTCTGGTGTAGGCCTGGCCTGTTACTACTGCTCCATGTGTTATCTTCTTTTATTGTGAACATTGCTATCTTCATTGCTACCATTTGAATGTCTCCACTACTTTTTGGCTGTCACCTCAGTATGAAGGGCCACTCTGGTCACTTAAGTGTTTGCTGTCTCTTGTTCTATTATGATGAGATACTCAAAAGTGAGTATCTCCACTGCTCTTTGTTGAACACTTAAACTCCAGGGTGTTTCTTGTCAGGGTTAAGAGAGACTGTGTGTTTGTGCGTGTGCGTGCTTTCATGAATGGCACGAGTGCAAGGTATGTATAAGACCATCTGCTGCTTTTGCTGTGTATGTTTAATATGCATATGTAAATCTGTGAACATTTGAGGACAATGACAATCCCAAGGTTATCCTGTTATTCAGCACTATGTTTGCCTTCGTGCTGTGTGTGTTTGTTTGTGTGTGTGTGTGTGTGTGTGTGAGTGTGTGTGTGTGTTTGTGTGAGTGTGTGTATGTGTGTGTGTGTGTTTGATGTTAAGAGAGGATGCCCTGAAGCCAAATCAAGCACTCTTGAGTTGTGTATGGAGGCAGGAAGGCTGGCGACTGCCCAAGATGACATAGTGGGCCTCAAAGGCATTATCTAACCACTCAAACTACACTTGCACACAAACACACACAGTCTTGACTTTGATACATCAAGGTTAAATCCACAGTGAAAAACTCTGTGGTCTGTCTGTCTGCTCTTGTGTCTGGGCAAAGATAACAAACTGGTGTCTTTTGTTGAACATTTGACGTGAGGCCCTATATCATGCAAACCAGTAGTAAAGAAACACAGATAGAGTTACACAGGGAAATCATCCTCACCTCAAATGTAAAACATAAGGATGTACATCTCATTGTGAGGGCAAACCATCAGCCCTTTTCCTCTCTGATGTGTCAGTACAGTGTATACATTAAAACATGATACAGCAAGTGGGAGGCTGTTTCCACTGCTTTATCTCTCCATCAGATGCGCAGTCCACAAGAAAAATGACAATAAACAATGGTGTCCAGCATACACACAAACACTAAGCTGTTGGAAAAGCACACCAAATGGAAACTCTTCATTATGCACCCTCTAGTATCACAATAGCTGACACTAATGAGAATGGACTAATTGTCTTACACTAACCAAAGAGGTGCAATATGAATGTTGATACTGGGTGAAGTTTTCACATATAACTCCAAACAGTGTATTTTAGGTGGATGAAGTTCTGCAAAGACAATGTCTGCACCCAAATTCAGACTGTGCAGTTACCCCAGTTTAAGGAAGTGGTTTCACCAAAACAGCAAAAGTTTCCTTTAAAATTGTATGTAAATATATTGATGATGTGGTAAATTTGAAAAGGACAAAAATATGTAATACTACTGCAAATCTTTGAATCTAAAGCTACAAAATAAAATAACGTGGCAGTATGAATCCCGTGTAGACAGTCCTCAGAACATAATGGTTGTTGACAAAATAAGACAAACTGAGTTTCCATACATAGAGAATCCATTTACCAAGCTTGGTTTAGTGTCTGTAACGCTGGACTCAGTGGAATGTGAGTTATGTGTGTGTTTAATGCAGTTCCTACTATATTATACTACGGAGACCACAATAGAGTAGATGGACTGCAGAAGCCAGACTGGAAAGTCCAAATTGTAGTATATATTTTCAGTCTCATTTAGATCCAAAGGAAGCTTGTTGAGCAGACAAGTATACCATTACATTGTACAAGAGTTTGTGGAGAGCTGGCTGTAGGACTGAGCCTGAAAGGGTTAGGACAAGCTTCACTCATTAGTCTGGTTCCCACTGCAAGACCAAACTCATTATCATTAATTTCCCTCCAGGCAAAATCAGTCTCTTCCATCTTGTTGCCACTAAAATTATTTGCAAGCTAGACTAACATTTCAGATAATGTTTTAATTGCTAGTTATACACAGCTGGCCAATCATTATTAAATTCTATTGCAAGACAATAATGTATCAAGTGCATCCTTACAGTAAAACAACTGAAACTACAGAATTTCAACTCTTTATGGCAAAAAGCTCAATACCTGACAACAAAAGATGCTCTGAAGTAATGTAACTTCTGCTATAATGCTCAGTGATATATGTCTCGTAACACTGAAAAATATTCTTTTCACAGCCATGTTTCATTTAACTTAATTCTAACATGACTAAGAAACGTTTTAAACTTTCGCTTTTAGTTGGGCTCAGCGTAGAAAAACAGCTTTTCAAGCCCTAATGCCAGCGATGCTGTGGTGTCTCCTTGGCACGCAGTAAAACGAGGGAGCATACAGCATTCTGGTTCCTACCACTAGTTCAAGTGTTGGCAGACTGTTTTCTCAACATAACCAAAGTGGTTTAGGAAAGACAGAACTGTAAGTTGAGGAACATTTGTCTGTAACAGATGAAGAGCCAAATATTTTCTTTGTTGCCGTTTTGGTAGTGCCAACGAGCAGCGTGAGTAGTGCGTAATGTTATCACAATCAGCGTCACATTACTTCCACATCTACTTCTGTTAAAGGCTGATCCATCAAGAAGCACATTATCCTTTCGCTCATTTAAGATGAGATGAGAAAGTTTTAATCTTTTACACAAATGCAAGCAAACAGATTGCTGAAGGCTTACTGAGTAATATTTGAATTTAGCCCTTTATGTACTGTATATATTCATGATTATCATGGTGCTCATGTGGAAAATGTACATAATGTGAAAATAATTATAAACCACTTTCTGAAGCAGCTGTATTCATTGCTCAATCAGGTTGACACAGACTTAAGTGTTGAGGTTGATGAGTTTCTGCTATGTTACAACTTTGCCTTTGCTTTGGGTTGTTCCTTGTTTTGTCCACATTCCCAGTCTCTGTGCCATAACTTGTGCATCTGTGCTTGTGAATGAAATGACAAGGCTCTGATTGCTACTTCCTCTCTCTCTTCAACCACAGACAAACACTGAGGTTCAATGAAACTCAGTGGCCACTGACTGCACTGTGAACAAATCCACACTGACATATTTTACAACTCTTTTCAGTGCTCAATTAAGGACAATTAGGGCTTGTGACATTCATTTATTAATTTATTTTTGATTTAGTATGTCTAACTGTTTTACACCTTCAGGATGAATAAGCAATGACATACTTCAGATGTCCTGGAGTGTGTGCGTGTCTGTCAATTGCACCAACACAATTGTCTCCAAAATATGGCGATATCGTAACACAAACCCTAATGTACACTAATGAACTTAACAACCCAATTCGTCATCACCATCTTTTGTAGTTTTCTTAGGTGAATATGACTGATTCACTCATCAACACAGCAACTGGGGCAGCGAGGACAAGTTGTAGTGTGTGTTTGATTTAAAAATCTCACTGATATTCTAGAGTTGTTTTCACCAAACTCAACTTGCCAGAAATTCAGTGACTGAGCCAAGATGAATAAGGTTGGGGTCGAAACGGCCCACAGTCTGCACACATGTGGATACATGCGCACACACAAATGAGATTAACTGCTCCAGCTTTCACATGACCGATGATTACATTAGGTTGCAGCCACAGGCTGTTCCTTAGCAAGACTCGGGTCTCAGGTCAGAAAAACCTCACAAGACACGTATCAAACATCAGATATAGACTCATCAACACAAGCTGACAGATGGGGTTTTATTTCTGTGCATAAAAGGGGGGGGGCTCTTCTTTAAAGTAGTTTGACTAAAACTTGTAGCCTATTCCTAATTTTGATTTAATTGTTTATATGTACTCTGTGATAAGAGGTGAGTGAGTTTAAAGACTTTTTGGAGTTAGGTAAAGTGGTTATCTTTGTGCACATCAAGTGGGAATGCCCAAAATACGTAAATGAAGATGGCTGCCAAACAAAATAAAATTAATTCCATTGGAATGAGGGGACTGCCTGCTTTTAGCAAAATGTCTACCCCTCAGTTTACCGTATCCCAATGTCACACTGGTTGTTGGAGGTAAACTATAGCAAGGAACCCTGCCCTTCCAACGATGTAAAAATACCTACAAATGTGAAGTTAGAAGTTTGTGAATCTGCTTTTATTGTTTTTTTCATTTACAATTCTGCAGAGTGGATAGGTTGCAGTCAAAAGAAAGAAAAGCTGAAAGCTTTTAAAATATTGTAAAATATTACAATTTTACCAAAGTTTTGTTCTGGAAAAACTTCCTTTGACTGGTTTCGTTACTCAGTGGCTCGCTGAAGAAAAGACAAAGTGTGTGTATATGTGTGTGTGTGAGTAGAGCAAAGGAACATAAATGTGCCAGTATGGACCACACTAAATGTGGACACCACAGACCTGATAAAACACAGACAAACATTTTGTAGAAACCAATGCAACACTACAGAACTGGACCAGTAAAACAGAAACAGCCCCCCACTGGACCAGTTAGTACCCGGGTGTATCTCAAGTCTACGGTGGCGTCCACTTTACCTGCTTCCCTCTCTTTCTTCTTCAGAAAACAGCATGTTTTCACTATCACTAATATCAACAAAACAAAGAAATTTCCAGAGCACCTCATTACTTAAAGGAGGTTTACTATTGCTATGTAGTCAATGTTAGCATTAATAGCTGTTTACTTACCAGTCTAGAAGAAATGTTGCGAGTTCAGCATCAAACTTCTTTCCTTTACTCGCCAAGAGATGTCTATAGTGCTGGAAAGTAACCCTCTTGTTTTGCTTCTATTTCAATCACTTTTCTTCTATTGAAGTTAGCATGCTAACCACCTAGCTCCACTTTCCGATACAGAGTCACTGTATTGTCCAGTCTGCCCTGAAGAAGTAGAGCTGGTCAGAGGCTGTTCTCTAACCTCTTATATTGTAAATGCTGAGATGGCTGAAACTTTGGCAATACTGGTAAGTAAACAGCTGTTAATGCTAACATTGTCTATGTAGCGATAGCATAACTTAAAATAGCTGTTTTAAGGTGGTTGCAAACATCGGGCCTCTTACCCAAAGCTACAAACAGTAAACAAGAGAAGCCAGAAGACAATGATGGATGTAAAAGAGACCAAAGGGTTTCTATACGAAACCAGATTCACAGACTATACAGCTTAATTTGCCAATATGTTATAGCAAACTTAGACTGCAAAAAATAGTTTCATAACTGTATAGGAAACTTGTGCATTCCATTATTTAGCATGTTTTTATTTTTTGCATAAAAATATATATCTTTAATGGCTATTTCACAATGAAACTGAGATGATAGGTTAAGCATTGTAGCGTAAGCAACTACCTAGACAGTGTGTCTGTTCCACAGACTGACTTACCTAGATTATCAGCTGCAGTGCAGCATAAGGCGAAGGATTGTATCAGAATCACATGGGGACAGGGAGAGGAAAAAGATTCAAGTCAACTGAAAGAGTGCCAGCACTAAACACTAATTCATCAAGGTGCAACTTTGTGTCTCTGGATGCCTGTTTAAGCAGTATAACACTCAAAGAAAAATATAAAGCCAAAACAATGTGCCACTAGGTTTCTGTTTTAAACAGACAATACTGATAGAGATATGCATGTTTGTATGCATTTTTATCTGCCTTAGTAAAAACAAGTGCAAAAACAGGCTAAGCTTTACAGAAATGCCTCTTTTAAAGAAACAAAATCTTTAGGAATGTCAACATGGTAGTGATTAATTGGTTGTTACATTAATTGTCACTCATCCAAATGCAATTACCAAATATGAACAGGTTTTGTTTTTTAAAGCTGATATTATCTGAATCTGAATCTATACTAACAAAAATATGAAACATCTGATTATGGCTACTACTGCCTTTCTCACTGATCAATTTGTCAATCCCCTTTAAAATATATAATTTTGTTAGACATGTTTTATAACTCGTATAATAAACTTAGATAATAATTGTAGAGTTGAGAAATTCTATGGTCTATAATGTGCTTATGCCAACAGTGTTTAATGATAATCAAAGTCATGCAGGCAGCTGTAGAGGAATGACACGTCTTATGTAGTAGTATTAGTAATGATCACAATGTGCAGTATAAGTTATATACCAACATTAAATCTACTGCATAATATGAGTAAGAGGATCCTTAAGTTACTTGTATTTCTTCCTGAACATCTGTACATGTTCCACATCTACTGATTCAAACCTGAAACTATCAACATCCCAAAACATACTGGAAACATATTCATCTCACTCCTTTTTTGTGTATGGTATTTTTTGTCAAGGTAGGTGAGTGCGTATGTAGAACCTGAGCCAAGAGGACTGCAGAGAGAAACAGCCTCTGTGTTTACCAAGTAAGGTAATGTTTAGCCTTACTAGATCTGCACATGTCTAATCAGTAAGGACAAACTTAACTTAGGACTTCTTTTATATACACACATCACTGCCGTCTAATAAAAACATCATATATACAATTTGGACATTGTCCCACTTTACTATTTGATTATTTAATTCATCTGATTTTTCCTTTAGTCCTGAATGTTGACTTCTTGCAGACAAGTCTTTGAACCAGTACAACATAAATCACACTAAACTAAAACACTACCAAAGCCTAAGTGCATAGTGTTAAAGTAAAGCACTTTTTTTTCAGTGATAGCATTAGTGGATTTCAATGAATGAGTTTTTGTTTTGTTTTTGTTTTTTTGATGTTCACTACTTGACACAGCAGGTAGATTGGAGATTTTTTATTTTAGCTGTGTTAGCAACTAGAAAACAGACGACTACAAGATTCTTACAGCGGTCAATGAAAACTATGTCTTTCTTATTATGTTATTTCTTATGTCTGGCTAGTAATGGCAGATACATAGCATCTATGGGAAGAGCACTGACTGAAGCTGAAGAACCTAAGCCTATCCTTCCCTAACTTTGCTTGAAATACACACATATATAATGTTTCATGCCTTCTGATTAATATGCAAACTAATAGAGGATAAGAAAAGCATTTTACTTGCTTTTCTTTCTAAGAATACAGATTCAAATTTAATTGATCAAATCTTCTGACAGACACATGTGATAGATGTATTTCACTGGATTAGCAGGTAATGCTCCAGGTTGATGAAAGTGTCATTCCTATATTTAGCTAGTATTTATGCCTGCACAATGAAGACAATAAGCAAGTGTATACAGTGAAGTTCGCCTTGTTTTCATTCTTTGTGATCAAAATTTTACTACTCTGTGGGTACAAGATTGTTAGAGTAAGATTCGCCTCCATCATTAAGCAGACCAACTGCACTTAGCAGTGATATTTTTGTTTAGTCACTTAGGCTATGGGTTTAAAACCAAAATGAAATATGTTTTTACCTTTCTTTGCTTTCTTCTGTAGTTTCAGTGTGTCAGAGGACTTCTTCTTAATTTCCTGCCGGGCTCTTTTATACTCTGGTTCAGATGGACAAGGTAAAAAAGTTAACTGTGTGAAAACTTTGTCTTAAAGTTTTTAATACAATTAATAATAGTTTTTGGGACAGAATAACAAAAATTGTATGACGACCTGATTGCCAACCTAAGTTTAAAGCCATAATTACTCAGTAACTTGTTGAGTCTAATGCAGTGGTGAATAGAGCTGATGAAAGAACAATCCTGGCACTTTACATTGCTTGAAAATAATTAAGATGTATTTTATTTTCAAACTAATTCCTGGACCTGTGTATTGCTTATGTTCTTGTATATGATTGCATTTGTGTAACCTACCTTTAGCATGGTCCTTGTCCAAAGTATTTACACCTCTTTTCCACTCCTCCATCTGTTCTTGTAGTGGGTTGATCAGACCCTCCAGGAAACCCCTGCAAAAAAACAGGTTACTCACTTCTGATCTGAGGTCAGCCTCATCAATTAAACCATTTATAAATAGATTTGTTAAAGACTAACCTTTTAAAATTTAAACTTCTCATATGTATCCAAAATAAGTTTTATTGACCAATCATATAGTTGTACATCCTATTTATAAACACATAAATGCAAAATACCTGTCACCAACTTTTGACTCTTGTTTCACTTTATTCATGTCTTACAGATTTACTATACATGGTTTATCAGTGTGTCTGTAGCAGACAGACTGTCAGACATAAAAACCATTCGGTCTGGTTTTCCTTTCTGTCTGTATAGTATATGGTCTTGTCTGTCAATCATTAACAGACAGAAACAAAGGTAGAAAAACAGAGACTGAGAGAGAAAAAGTCTGCTTATGTCTGACTGTGTGTCACAGGAGGAAGGAAGAGGCTTGTGCAGTCATGTCTGTCAATCATTACCAAACTGTGCCTGCCTTCCAAGATGTATTTGTGAGTGTGTTTAAGAGGCTGAGAGTGTGGGAGCTGGGCAGCTGCAGGCTTAGTGCATGAAACTAAAATTAGAATTCTCCCGCTTGCAGACATTTCTCCAAAGAGTGTGTGTGTCTGTGTGTGTCAGTGGGTGGCTGGTGGTGACCACAGCCCCCCTGGGTACAGCTCCTGCTATGGAGATCCAAGTGGAATCTCTGCTGAAATGCCACCCGAATTAGAGAGCCCCTTGTCTGTGTAGTGTGTGTGGGTATAATGTGTGTGTGTGTGTGTGTGTGTGTGTGTGAGAGAGAGAGAGAGAGAGAGAGAGAGAGAGAGAGAGAGACATGTTGTGTACGACTTCACTGAGACATTATAGATGCTTGTCCTGCCAGACAAATCATCTCTTTCCCAGCATTTCATGAAAAAAAGCACATTTTCACCCCCACACACAAAATATCAAGTTATGGAGACATATGGTGAGATAACAATTCAATAACAGACCATTTTATTGGGAGTTGCAGTACTAGGGAAACAGCTTGGGTCGAAGTACACTAACTGTGAGTCAGGGATATAAGAAACACTGCAAGAGGAAGTTGTTTATCTGTGAAAGTTTTAAAAGTTTTATAGTCCTGACATTTTTTTCTCAGGACTTAAAAATCACTCTGTTGTATCACTTGACTTTGGCACAATTTGAGTGTTTGGAGAGGATATTTGTTGGACATATGAACTCCCTGTTGATATTTTTTCCTTTTTTTTTTTTTTTTAGCTCAGCCAAACCACAGTAATGCCAGTGAAATCCCCACTCCTACCCAACCTCTCCAACATCTAAGCAAAGCATTCACCAAAAATCCACCAGACACTGCATCATATCAGAACCTGCATGGTGGAAATTTCAGTAGTAATGCCACTGAGGAGTGAAAAAGGAAGGAAAAAAGTACAGTACACAAATAAATTATGTGTAATGTTCCTTACATCGAGAACTGTTTGAGTTTAACCTCTATGCTGCGATGTCTCATACACATCCTGGTCAGCGCTGATCCAATGTCTCTGGTCCCACCTAAAAGATATTAAAAAAAAAAGACAAAAAAAATGTACAAAATAAAACCAAGCTTCTAATGTGATAACTGCTAAAATCATTCATTCATCTATTTAACCAAATCTCAGATATGAACCAGTATCACAACAACTCACTGAAGAAGGACATGACATATAGAAAATGTTAGATGGTCAAACTATTCACATGAAAATATTCTTTGAATGATATGAGAGCACATGAACAGGTTTGACAGTAAGCAGAGGGCTAGAGGCAAGAAAAGCCAGAAAGGAAGGCTCAAGTGCAAATATCACACTGTGATTTACACAGACTGTAACAAAGATTTTTCAACTTTACTGTAAGTGACACCGATGTCCATAAAAGTGACAATAAACCAATGAATCCAATTGTATCTTTTTTTACTTCAGCCACTAAGTCTGTTTTTGGGATGAACTGTCTGAATCAACCACCATCAAAAAGTTTTTTAATTTTCAACAGAAGGTTTGCTGCAATTTGAGTGAACATACAATTACTTCAGAACTACAGATGCATCATTAAACAGGATGTCTCATTACAAAGGCAACTATTGAGATTCCACAGGGAAAAATGCAGACAATGGGCTTTTGAAAATGATTAGGTAGCTGTACATCTACAATGTAAACACTGAATGAAAAGCCGCTTGGTATTTGAGTGCAGCACATAATAGTCTGCTAATGCTGTAAAGCAATTAACTTCAGACTAAATTGAGAGTGACTTTGCTACTGGAAAAAAAATTTGTTGCTGGAACGAGCACTCACTGACCCCACTCTTTCCACCGTAGCTGAAAACTGTGGGAATCAGTGGGAAACACCGAATTACGAACTGCACACATATTCAGGTCAGGAGAAGTGATGGGAAGTTGGAGCTGGAGTCCTGAAAATGTGCTTGGGGCTAATGTCAGTTCCCGTCACACAGGCTAACTAACTGTCCACTGGAAGGCCTCAGGCTGGACAGCTATGCAGGGACTTGACGTTGATTGACAGAACTATTGTTTGGCTGCTCAGTATGACTAGTCGGTTTCTCTGTGGGACTGAAGCACTACTGTGTGTGTGTGTATGTCTGCATGTGTTGGTGTGTGCATGAGAGAGAGGAGGTGGGGGCAAGGAGATCTTATATGAAACTGAGTGGAGTTCTTTTGACATTCTGTTATGTGACAGAGTGATACTCTCAGTTTGTGTGTGCATGGTTTTGTGTGTGTGTGTGTGTGTGTGTGTGTGTGTGTGTGTGTGTGTTTGTGTGTGTGTGTGTGTGTGTGTGTGTGTGTGTGTGTGTTTTAGAGACAGTTTGGTTGTGATGATCTGATGTGAAGTGTGAATCCTCTCCAACCGAGCAAGCCATTCTGCTGTCAGCACAGTCCTTGCTGCATGCAGAGTCAAACACACAGAGCTGTCACTCACTCACACTCAGATTCACACACACACATACACACATAAAATTGTCTTTTACTGTCAGAGGCTGGACAAAACAAATGCATGAGGCTGTTGATTTGGCCTGCAACACTTATTTATGGTGACTGGGGTGTCAAGAATAGAAGAAATCCTGTAATCAAGAAATCTTTACAGAGCAACTTTCAAATTGAATTTGTGCTTTCAAATGGAATTAAAATTCAACTTCATATCATATTATATCAAATTAATATTAATATTGATTCAACTCAATATTACTAGTGGATAGTAATATGATATGAGTGAAGCAAAATTAAGATAGACCAAGAAAACTGTAAACGGTATTGCAGACTCCTCAAAATGTTATGTTGATGAGAGCTAGCCTGTGTCAACTATGCATCTCAGGCTGCGCCATGGTAGGAAAAAGTTGGGCCAAAACTTCTTATCTGGAGCATATCTGCTGAATTACTGAATGTCTAAATTCAACAGAATAATGGTGAAGAGTTGTTAGGTGGATTAATTATTTTGTTGTGTTTTTCCCTAAATGAAAACACAATATATAGATAGAGAATATTGTGTGTCAATGTTGCAAAATGTGCAAACAGTGCTACATGAAAAGTTCTGCATTGCATCTCCTCTGGTTCGAATCTAAACCAAGAACTGTTTTTCAGACAATCTCCATCTGTCCTGCTCTTCTAAAAGGCCGGTGTTAGCTCACTATGCTTTTGGCAGCTGAGTGAAAAGAAGGCAAAGCAGAGACAAATAACCTGGAGAGATACAGGGCAACACTGAATGTAGCTATTCTATATGGCAAATTACAACTTTCACGCACCTTTCAACAATACATAATTTAATGTCAATCCCACTGAGCCCATTATGGCCTCAAATTTTTCCCTCTATCCATTCATTCATCCGTCCCTCTGTAACTGCGTGTGCTTATTATTACAGAGGGTGTGGCTACTACATGGCATAAAGGACCTTTCTGTTGTATAACACCATAATGCTCATTCATTCTTGTGTTGACTTGTTTAGTCATCCTATCCATCCATCTGCCCACCTCTTCCTTACTATAACTGCTTGTTATTCTAGAGGGTGTGTCTGATAGATGCCACAGTGCCACAGGGTGGCCACACAGCCAAAAAAAGGAGTTAGTTTTTCATTAAAAAGTTACTGTAGAGGTCAAGCCCATGCTGTCAAGGGAAGAGTTTGGTTTCACTTGATTATTCATTTGGCCCAACCCCACCCAAACTACTAGATTTAATATGAGGCATTCAATTGAACCAAAATCTGCTCTTGGTTACATGTAGTATTATGGGTGTGCTAGAAATATTACACTAACAGTCAATAGTCACTTTGCAGTCAAGTCAGATTTTGTGAGATAACTGCAACAACCCATTTCCATTTGAATAGAGTTCCAATGAATGGCACACCTCCTTTCAAGAGGTCGTATTTGAAAGAGACTATAGCTAACATACAAAAGATGGGCATACGTAGAAACTTGTCTGCAGATGTTAGAATTGCTCAAGATGTGGCAAAATAACTTCTTTTATGCCATGAGCACAAACTGATAAAAAGAAAAACTGCAAGTAACTGTGCCTTGCAACTAAAATTTTCAAACCATAGCAACATGATAATCATAATAATAAATAATTCAGAAATACCACATATTCCATGTACTAAAGAGACTTGTGTCTCTTCTCTCTACCCTGGTTTCTCCCTCTCACAGCAGGTAGCTAGTCAATGTGGTTTGTGCCATGACTGCCAGTTGCCATGGAAACACTACATTTATGTGTGTGTATTGTGTGTGCCTGCTAGTCTGACTTGGGCTCCAAAAAGGTTACTGGTTTCGGAACCTTTTTGTGTGTAAAGTGACTTATTATCATGACATGTCATAATCTTTGGGAAGCATTTGACACACACAGTCTGCACATGTAGTCACAGTGATGTTATGAAAAATATTCTAAATTATCAAAATAATAATCAAAATATTGGTTTCAACCACATCACCCATGAGGAGCTCACACATAGCATGCAGTCAAAAGTGTTAAGGGTTAAGAAACTGGCCAAAAGTGGATGCAGTATCAGGTTGATCTGCACAGTTTGTGGAAAGTTGTTTTGTTGCTCTCAGGATAAAGTGGCTGCTAACTCAAATGGTCTACTCCGTCTAGCACCGAATGACCCCTGGATAGAAATAGCTGCACTGGCAGCACCAGTTGCCTGCCACACACATACACACACACAAAAGCTTGCCTCAATGCCAGGCCAGACTGCTGCTGTGTGTGTGTAGTGGCATAGCTGGCTGTCAGTAGAAATACCTGCTGTGTGACATGGTTGTTTCGGAGGCTTGTAATTATCACTGGACTACCAACACCTGACCAGTAGAAAGCACAGACATACACTCAGACACACTATAAGCTCCACTCTTTGGTGCACTTGTGCACCAACCACGCTAAACTAAACACAGCAAGCAAGTAGGCAGCACTAGTAACATGGAGGAAAAAAATAGCAAATTTGGTCACAGTATGTTTTAATGTTTCACAGTATGGTGGCTGGTGCATGATTTCACAGGCCTAGTTAGTCAACAATGTCCCACAGTATAAAGACAATGGCTTTTAATTACATTTATTTACTACATCTACTTGGTGTTCATTTAATCACTACTTTCAAACATTTTCTATCAAGTGAATGATGAGAGTAATATGTACAAAACATTATTTGTCACTATACATGCGTCAGGTTGTAATACTAAGAAACTACTACTTATATTCCTATCAAAGCTTTGTCTCTTGGTTACTGATATTACAGCTTTCTGTGGGAACCAATGTCTCAAGAGGCTTTGGGGACATTTGTGACAGAGGTGATAGTTTTCCATCAGTGTGTGTGTGTGTGTCTGTGTGTGCGTATGAGAGTGACAGAGAGATAGGATGGCAATTTGATGTCGAGTTGCCAAGTCTGTCTCTGTCCTCAACCCCCTTCCAGACTGTTCCTTGGAATGTCGCACTATGCTGACACAGAGGGTGTGTGTGTGTGTGTGTGTGTGTGTGTGTGTGTGTGTGTGTGTGTGTGTGTGTGTTTCTAAGAAAGCATAAGAAACAAGGGACTTTGAGAGGACACTTGATTAAAGAGGTAGATGTGTAAATGTATTTAAGGTGTTTTTATCATTAACTCTCACTATGATGCATAGCCCTTGCAGTAGTAGGAGTGCAGTACCAAAATGTCCTGTGTGAGGTACCTCTTTATTTTTGGCTAATGTTGCAATAAACTCACTTGCTAAATAAGCTTGCTAGACAGTTTTCCAAAGGCAGCAGGCTGTGTAACTCATCCTCTGGGTAGAATTAAATAAAGGTGGAAGGACAAAGTTCCTTCCTTTGTCTGTATTTAAACGACTGGCTTACCCTTCAGGTTATTATGAGAATGTGACATGATTTGGTGCAATTTGAAACCATCAATAATAATGGCATCAATACAGGTGGAAGTAATATGATACCAGCAATATGACACTGTATGATCCTGTCCTATAAGCCTGCACCACATACCTGTAGTAAAAACTCAATATATCAGTATGTTATTTGCACTATGACAACACATAGGTAGAGCTAG